GAATCTATCCACAACCCTTATTTCATACTTCCCACTTGTTACCAAAATGGAAGGCTCAGCTAAGAATGAACAACCTCCATTTAACTTACTCAGCTAGACCCCCTTTGCCATAACAGTAGCAGGCACTTTCACATTGGCAGACTGGGAATCTATACAACGTTTAAGTTGCCACGACATGCAAACAGCAAGTCAGCCGCAATGAGGATTTCTGCGATGACAGGCTGGACTCCCAAATCTCAGTCCCATTAACATACAGTAGATAGCCCGATATCTACGAGGAACACTCGCTGCCACGTGAGTAGAATTTGAGGTTTTGTTTCTGCAGTGAACGCCAACACGCGTCTTTACACAAGTTCCTCCCAACTCTGTCCGTTTGCTCAAGTATGTACACGCGTGGGTTCTCTGTGAGTTCTCTGTGATACTTGAGACGCCCACACTTATTAGCGTGGGTTTCTCAACCTTTATCCCATAATATGTCCTAGAAAGGTAACCTCTTCCATTGCCACGTCAACCTTTGCTGTCCGAACGCTCTGATGTGTTCCAACATGGTTTTTAACCCATGTACATGGTTTGGCAAATTAATTCATTTATATCTCGCATGGTCAGTCCGTGTATAAATAGTTCTTTTGTTATCTGGGGGTCCAGATGTTGGAAGTATGTGCAGATCGCTCCTAACTTAATCCTTCTTGACGAATAGTGTCAGTGTATATGATACGACATGTTTTCCGTGTCTGTTGAAACTTACTGTTGCTAGGAGAAGATGTAATCAAAACAAACATTGAGCATGGACAAGTTCGAGGCATCTGTATTCCTAATATTATGTCTTAACTATCTATCTGCTTTATCTTCTAAATGGTAAGCTAGAGATCTATGGGGATATTGACAGGTAGGCGTTTAACTTGTTTTCGCTGAGAAACAGTTTCGGTGACTGTTTAAATCATTAGAAATGTCTGACTAATTCGTGGACTCACTCTAGGGAATTGTAAAGGCTCCTGAGGAAAAAGTCAACTTTAATGGTATAGACTAGCTCATCATTTACCTCTGAGCACTTATTGAGAGCGAGGTGTGTGTGAATATCGAGGTATATCAAGTGAGACATCATCCATAAACGATGAAGCCATCAACCGCTTGCCCCAGATTCCTATTAACGATTCACTGGCAGATCAACCTACAACAGAAGAAACCATAAAAGCTATCCATCTCCTTTCCAATGGAAAGGCGCCTGGTCAAGATGCTATTTCAGCTGAAGTCTTCAAAGTGGGTGGCCCAGTTCTGACTGAGCAGCTATACAAGATATTTCAAAGAATTTGGGAGTGAGACCATCCCACAGGATCTTAAGGACGCTGTAATAATTCACCTTTACAAACGTAAAGGAAACCGTCAGTCCTGTGATAATCACCGAGGTATCTCACTGCTTTCAGTTGCAGGGAAGATTCTTCCCAAGATTTTCCTGGGTCGTTTCACAGCTCATCTCGAGAGAGGTCTCCTTCCTGAAAGTCAGTGTGGTTTTAGAAAAGATCGTAGAACTGTTGATATGATTTTCGCTGCTAGACAACTGCAAGAGAAATGTCAAGAACAGAATTCGAACACGTTTTCCACGTTTATTGATCTTACGAAAGCGTTTGACACAGTAAATTGAGATGGACTGTGGAGGATTATGGAGAAATTTGGTTGCCCACACAAGTTCATCCAGATAGTGCGTCAGTTTTCTGATAGCATGCAAGCAAGAGTGCAGGATAACGGCGAATTGATAGAGTCCTTTCCTGTCACAAACGGAGTCAAACCTGCGTGCTTGCGCCGTCACTGTTCAGCCTGTTATTTTCAGCCATGCTGACTGATGCCTTTGTAAATGATCACACTGTATTCAACATAAATTACCGTATGGATGGAAAGCTGTTCAACCTCAGGAGGCTGAAAGCAAAAAGAAAAACTAAATCAGACACCATCAGGGAGCTTCTGTTTGCTGACGATTGTGCCCTTTATGCCAACACGGAAACGGATATGCAGCACAACATCGACAAATTCAGTGATGCCTGTACAAACTTTGGGCTCACCATCAACAAAGATAAAACTGTAGCCATGCACCAGCCAGCCCTAGAGCAAAGATACATCGAGCCCAATATCACAGTGAACGGCTACAGATTAAACGTTGTCAGTAAATTTACTTATCTAGGCAGCACCCTTTCACAGAGTGCCACAATTGATGACGAAGTAAATGCAAGGATCTCTAGGGCTGGCGTTGCCTTTGGCAGATTGTACAAAAATGTTTGGAACAGAAGTGGCATAACCCTGCAGACCAAGCTTTAAGTATACAGAGCAGATGTAATAACTACACTGCTGTACGCATGCGAAACATGGACTGTATACCAGGGATGAATGACACCAATTGGGAGGCTGCCTCCCAAGACCGAAATGCATGGCGTGCAGCTCTACACAAGGGTGCGGCTACATGTGAAGCAAACAGAACAGCAAGACTCATTAAGAAAAGGATGGAAAGAAAGGCGACTGCAGGAGATCTCCTCTCTGGCACAACGCTCATTCCCTGTCCTCACTGTCAAAGAACTTTTCTGGCCCGAATCGGCCTCATCAGTCATCTTCGTACTTATATTTGGTGAATAAGAGTGGTCATCATCATCTTGATGGGCAACGCACACATATCAAGTGAAGGTTGATTATGTATATTGCCTTGTTAATTACAGGATGCCAGAAAATCCAACGAGAGTCGAGGCACTAGTCAAGCTCTCGAGTCAGCCGTCAACCTGTGAGACCAAAAAATATCGCAATGCCGCCTTCTCATATCTCATGCCGATTTGTGAGGTAATCTGCTCGACGTCTGAGTTTCGTAATAAATGGAGCTATTCAGGGATCGTTAAACATAACGTGTTGATCGTCTAGTGAAGTCAACGCCAGCGAGTCTCTGTGAGGACTGACTGATCTTTCCACCTGTCTGTGGGGAGAACTTGTAATCTACTGTGCTGCTTGGAGAACCAAAGGGCGGCGAGGATCTACACTTTCGTGCCATGGAGGAGCTTCTGGATTTCACTCAGATAATTCCTGTAATATCGAGGGAGTATCTTGACAACGGGAACCAGAATGTACCTAGTAATCTCACTCCGCCCTCCGTGCAGTGATGAGAATAGATATGTGTGTAGCACCCGGGGGAAACCAGTCTTCAAGTTCTTATTCTTCAAGAACATTTTGAACTTTTATTCTGTTCCTGTTTAATCTACGCTTTGTCTTGTTTCATGACAGTATACCTATTACATTATAATCTTCATTCGAAAAGTTTCTTGTTCTTAGATAAAAGTTGTTTTGATCTAATTGCTTATCGTTGTCAAAGTTGTAGCAATGTCAGATCCACTGTTGTGTATTCGTTCGACTGTGTTAACGTTGTTTTCCAGTCTGGGGGCGAACAGTATGATGAAAAAGTCAGGCCGATTGTACCTAAGGATTCATATTAATTCTGTGAAGTCAGAACTCAAGTCGCCTTATCCCTGAGATAGGCTGGATGTATGTTTGGACCGAGGACTTAATACCAAGACCAACGAGAGCCAACATTCAGAACAACCCTGTCTCAGAGTACCCGAGGATTTTAGGAAAATAATCCAGAAATAAAGATACGTGACAAAACTGCCATACGACATCAAGCCAAATGTTCAAAATCGAAATTGCATTTAACCAATATTCGAACGAAATGCAGTATATTTCTTCAGTTCCTGGGATATAGGAATTTGCCAATATCCTGTAGCTAGGTCAAGCTTTGTAAAATACCAAGCTTTACCCAAAGAATTAAACAAATCTTCCAAATGTGTATATTTTCGGCATCGATAATGGTAACTTGAATCCTTTTACGGAAGTCAATACAAATTCTTATTGAACCATCTTTTTTTCCCGAACTACCACCATCAGAAATAAAGAAGGGAAATTTGACTGTTCAATCATACGCATTTTTATCATATCATTTATTTCCTTATCGACTTCAGTTTGATAATGCACTGGTATTGCATATGGCTTGATTCTAATAGGACGATGGTCTAACACCTCTATCTTATGTACTGCTTCTGTGGTCCTGCCTGGTTTGTCAGATAACGTATTGTCGAATGTGGCCCAGCATTCCACAGATCTACGGTATTCCTCTGGAATGGTATATTTTTACATCAACCCATGACTCTTAGGGTACCAAATGTGGCAGATACATTCGGAGTTTTACATCCTCGTCAGCTTCCTCCATAGCTTCTTAAATACATGACAAAAACCTGCTTCCGCAATGTCTTCATTTTTGTCGTTAACTGTCTCGATTGCATCACCCAAACTTGGAGATTTTGACATGTATCGTTTCATCATGTTCAGATAATAGATTTTTAGTTTCCCTCAAACATTCACTAGATATCTTTTCCCCCACTCTGGACGGCCCTTCCAACAATGTAGCAAACAATTGGTCTTGTATGGCAATAGGACCAAAACTTCATCGTTAGGTTCTAGCGTCGCCAACCGTCAATAGTGATTGACATATTTCCTCTGTTGCGCTGCAGAAATCTCGAGATTCTCTTTGGCCACTTGACATGATAAAATGATCACCTGATGTCTCAACTCTGCCCACTTGTACAAGTATTTACATGCGTGAGTTCTTTGTGAGTTCTCCGTGAGTTCTCTTGTCCCTCATACCTTCGAGCCCCAGTCTTGTTCTACACGAACTTAATATGAATGTTTACCCAGGCTACGATAGAACCTCATAAATGTCTTGCCCAACGAGCCTGTCCTAGCTCAACACAGAAATAATGTTGATACACACGAATCGACACGCAACAATGATTTAACTTTGGTTTTCGCTCCGAGTCGCCTAAGTTTGAAGACTTTTTCATCCACGCATTAAATGATATTGATTCATATCTCTTCGTCACGAAAAGCATCAGAACGCACAGCTGGGAACAAAATACTGTAAATAGTAGGTACGAGTACACACCCTTGTTTCACACCTTTTGTGACATGAACAGGTGCAGATAGTTCTCCATTATCCTGGATTCTAGCTTGCATTCCATCGTGCAGCTGCTGCACAATCGTGACAGATTTCTTTGGGCAACCATACTCTGCCATGATCTTTCATAATCCCTCTCTGTGGACTGAATCGAAATCTTCTGTCAGGTCAATAAAAGCTTTGAATGAACCACATTGCTGTTCCTGACATTTTTCTTGCAGCTGCCTCACGGTAAACACCAAGTTTATAGTTCCACGTTCTTTCCGGAATCCACACTGGCTTTCAAAAAGCAAGCCTCCATCAAGACGATTTAGGAGTATTTTTGCAAGTATTATCCCTGCTATTGATAGTAATGATATTCCCTGGTGATTCTTGCAGTCCTTGTGATTTCCCCTACCGCCCGCTTGTAAAAGTAAAAGTAAAGCACCCTCTTCCATATTTATAAGATTTTGTGTCGTTCAACATACAACAATAGTTATTTTATTATTATTATTATTTGTTAATTACTTTAAAAAGGCTTGCGCCTGTGAGGAGGTCCCTAGATAAAGTGTTTTTAAAAAGGAGTAGAAAATTATAGGAAAGAGAGAAAAAGTTGGTAAGAAACAACAAACAGTTTATGTTAGCTTTACAAAATTGATTACAATAAACAAACAAAGGACGTTGCGGCGATTAGCCTTCATCAGCACATAAAGGACAACACAGTACACATACACAAATATGCTCTAACTATGACGTGACTACATAGGACTCTAATGTATAGAATAAATGATACTCATCTGTGTCCCTGGCGAAAAAACTTCTTGTAGATAAAGTGTTAAATGGCTTAGCTAATTTATATCATAACTTTACAAGCGGGGAGCCAATGTTTTCTCTGTGTTAGCTCCTTTAGCTAGCACCCAAATGCCTAGTACGCATAAGATTATTTGTAGGGTTCTGCGAATCTTATCACATCTGTGCTAAATTAATCCCTTACTTGGAATTGCAACTTTCCCCAGCAAAGGTGGTATGGTGACATTACTAACCTGCGATGCACAAGAAAGCTTTTTGGACTTCCGGTGTAAACAGCCACAATGGCGGTACGCTTTTTCGTCCGTTGAGGCGAATGGCGCAAATTAACTATTTTCGCTCACGTATAATGTGAAAGTTTCATCGGAATGGGGTCTGAACCGTGCAATGGAGTACATGCACGTGAGTTCAGACTTCCCTCAGGGTGTATTCGACGTCCGATGGCGACTATTCACCAATTCAAAACAACCCGTAGACGGACAAGGAGAACGCGAACAGGCAAGCACGGTGGCGCCTGCAGGAAGCGACTGAAATGTGAGAGACTCAGTTTAAAGTATGTTCGCGTTCTCTACTGGAACTGCACTTCGTTCAGTCAACGCCGACCCATTTTTGAGAAGCTCCTCTACAGCAACGACATTGTTGTCCTACAGGAAACACACCTCGGTGACGAGATCGTTAAAATTGCGGGCTTCCAATCCTTCTACAATAGACGGCACCTCGGACAGCTCATTCTTGTTCGTGACAAAATACCGGTGTCTGAGGTGGACATGTCTGAGTAGGATAATGACGACCTACAAGTACACGCAGTCAGAGTGTTGGGCCCGGCCCAGTTTGTGATTGTCAATGTGTACGCCTGCAATGGAAAGGTGGATACAGCGAAATGGCAGAGTTTGCTCCAGACGGAGGAAAAGAAAGTCCTTTACTGCGGAGATTTCAACGCCAGAGGAAACCAGTGGGGAAATGTAATCACCAATAAACAGGGGGAAGACCTGGAGGATGCCCTAGTGTCTGCCGATCTAGTATGCTTGAACGACGGAAAGGTTACCCGAATAGCAACCCGACAAGGGGATTCTGACAGCGTAATTGACCTGGCCCTAGTGTCTCCCTCCATTACATCAGGATGCAGGTGGAGCACACTGGGATACCATGACAGTGATCACTTTCCTTGCGTCGTCCTGGTGGAGAAGAGCAACAACAAAGGTCATGTAATCAATGTGCCTGCTTTTCTATATGACTGTACAGGGCAAGATGCCATTAGCAAAATCAGACGACGTAAAACAAGAGCAGATCGCAGACGGCGGGAGAGATGGGCCCAGCCACCATGGTGGAATGAAGTAGTCAACATGGCGTGGCTAGAAAAAAGGAACGCTGTCAAGGCATGGCAAAAGGCAAGGAAAATTGATCCGTCACTTTCTGAACGCCTGATCAGTCTAAAAGATGAGGTTAACAAGCGGACAGTGGCTTTCAAGTTAATTGCCAAAGAAGCCAAGACAGCGAAATGGAACGAATTCTGCAAGAGCGTTTGCTCCGAGGGATCTCTTGTGACATTCTGGCGCCTTCAACGGAGCATGCACGGCGCCCGCACGACCAAGGGGTATCCCTGATTTTCAGGGTACAGACCTGATATGGCAGAGAACTGATGCTGATAAAGGAAAAACCCTTCTTGCGCGCTACTTGGAGCAAACTGACCAAAAAGACGAAGCTGCAAGAATAGGGGTTAAGATGAAACTGTCGATGCTGTGCGAGAACACTGAGCTAGGCACTGATTTCACAATCACTGCAGACACCTTAAGAACTTGCCTCAAGAAATCGCGCAGCACTGCTCCAGGCCCTGACGGCATCCGATACAATGACATGCTGATGATGTCGAATGCTGATTTGAAAAGCGTGGCAAAGGAATTCAATATCAGCATCCAGAGTGGCCAGATACAAGAGGAATGGCTCCATAGTTATTTGTTCCCACTACCAAAGACTAATAAAGACCACTCAAAGATCTGCGGCTACAGAATCATCTCGATGCAGAATACTGTTGGCAAACTTTTGGAAAAAAATTGTCGCACAAAGATTGACCACCTACTTGGAACTACATGATAAGTTCCCATCAACACTTGGAGGGTACAGGTTGAAGAAAGAGACATGGTTCAATGCTGCTGTTTTCGCCTACGATGTGTACGAGGGATTTCAGATTAAAGAAGAGACATGTGCGGCAGTGTTGGACTTAGAAGATGCCTACAATAAAGTACCATACGAATATTTAATGCAATTACTGCTTAAACTAGAAGTCAATCCTATTCTGATCCGCTGGATTGCTGCGATCCTGTTCCAGAGAAAGATTGTACTAAGATGTGGTAGCTGGTCCTCAGAACCGCAAACGATATGTCCAGGCTTGCCACAGGGATCACCGCTATCACCAGTCTTATTCAACGTTTATACGGTGATGATCACTGAGCAGCAGTTGAATGGAAAGGGAAGGACTTTGTCATTTGCTGATGACATTTTGATTTATCGACGAGGACGTGATAGACAGGAGATCGCCAGCACAATGCACAAAGAACTCGATCGAATTGCCGCCTGGTGTGATGGTTCCAATGCCTATGTCAATCCTTCGAAGACATCAGTGTCATGGTTCTCTTTGAACAATCACATTGTCAAGTCGGACTTACCAGAAGTGAAAATGCGTGATAATATATTGATCAGAACCAACGTTATGACGTTTCTCGGGGTGAGGTTCGATCGCAGCTTGTCATTCAGGGAACACGTTGACCATGTGATAACAAAAGCACGCAAAGGTCTATCTGCAATGAGGATTATGGCTGCTTCCAATATCGAGCAAAGACTACTAATACTTCTATTCTACGGTCTGGTCCTTTCACCCATTGAATACGCTCTGGCCATCCTCACTGTCAGTGCTACCCAGATTGAAAGACTCGAAAAGGTGCAAAATGAAGCCATGCGCATTATTTTGGGATGTACAAGAGACACATCCTGTGAAGCAATGAGGTATCTACTTGACTTTCCAACAATGAACCAAAGGATCAGAATGTGGAGGGCTCGGGCATACCTCAAAATATGTGCTGATAAGAAACACCCACTGCATCAAGCGCTTTTTAGTGAAAAGGGCGACAGACTGAAAAGGGGAAAATCGTGGCTAGGTCGGGCAGAAGATGTTATTAGGCAAATATGCAGCCTAACCGACATCATACCTGGTGCAGAATGGATACCTGTGCCTCAGGCGTTTATTTGTACATTTTCCTGTATTGTCACACTCAACAGGCGATGTAGAGAAGAGAATCCTGTTGCTGTTAATGCAGAGGTCAACGCTCTCATCGGTGAAAATTCAGGCGAAGCAGATGCAATAATCTATACAGACGGATCCGTTATACGCCAAAGAAGAAGCGCATGGGCATTTACAGCACGCTCAGCGGGCAGAACAGTCAAAGAAGCCAACGGTGCCTTCTCCATGACAACCAGCAGCATGACGATGGAGGTGTGATGGCAGTGACGCAAAGCGTTTGCCTGGCTTGAAACACAAAAATACACCCGCATATGTATACTCAGTGATTCAATGAGTATGATCCGGAGGGTTCAGGCAGGTTCAGTGCGAAGACAATGGCTTGAATCATTACAGAAGTCCACTGTGCGTGGAGTCACCTTTATTTTTGTTCCGGGACACGCAGGCGTCGATGGAAATGAAAGAGCTGACAGGTTGGCTGGATCCGCTATCACTACCGACGGTCGGCCTATGGATCATGCTGATATTATCAATGCCCTCAGAGAAATGGGAAGGATAGAGGACTTTGGTGGCAGTGAATCCACATCACTCGCCAGAATGGCAGACTTGGGAATTAAGATCGGCACAGCAAAAAATGAGACGCACACCGGACACGTCAGAAGACTTGTTAATCAACATAGAACTGGTACTATTAGCCATCGGACGTTGAGGTTCATACTGAGGGGAGGATCTGAGCACCTATGGACATGTCCGGAGTGCAATGACGATAACCCAACTAACTAACTAACTAACTAACTAACTAAGCTTTCCTTTAGGGTTTTCCCGAAATTATCCGGCTTTTGCCAAGTCAAACGAATATGGCTTTTAATTATTTTAGCTTCGTTAACAGGGAAGTTGTTATATCTAATACTGTGCATATGTACGATTTTGATTTCCTAGGGCCCCATGCCCACACTCCCCTTCCTGGGCTGCTAGTTGAATGTTAGATCACCCCATTGAATCAAAGAGGAGCATTCTAGGCGTAAGTTTAACGGGGAAATGTTTACATATACCGTTTAACCTCCTTCAAAATTATAATTAAGGGACCCTTAACTTCTGCAACTTCTGTCTATAACGGGTTATAACAATATAGTAGTAGCAGCAGCACAACTAGTAGTAAAAGTGCTAGTAGTAGTAGTAGTAGTAGTAG